AAAAAGAATGAAATTCTGCCATTTGCAATAACGTGGATGGACCTAGAGTGCATTATGCTTAGTGAAATGTCAGACACAGAAAGACAGACATTCTGTGTTACCACTTGTATGTGGAATCTAAAAAATAAAACAAATGAAGGAATATAACAAAACAGAAACAGACTCACAGATATGAAGAACAAACAAGTGATTACCAGTAGGAGAAGGAAGGAGAGAGGGCAAGATAGGGGTAAAGGATTAAGAGGTACAAACTATTATGTATAAAATAAATAAGCTACAGTGTTATATGTACAGCACAGGGAATATAGCCAATATTTTATAATTACTTTTAATAGAGTATAATCTATAAAAATACTGAATCACTCTGTTGTATACTTGAATATAATATTATAAATCAACTATACTTCAATTTTTTTAAAAAAAGATGATCCCAGAGCATCTTATAGTGCCAGAAAGTAAGGAACTGCGCAAAACAAAACAAAACAAACCACAATGATGGGACATAGGAGGCAATTGAAAGAGCTCCCTGTGACCAATGCTGGAACAATTTGAGCAACAAAATTCGTAAAGTAATATTGGATTACAACTCAAAGTATAAAATAGATATCATGAATCCATTGTGATATAAATACATGATGGAATAAATAAATAAATGGAGGAAAGGAAACTAATCTCCCATACAGAAGAATTCCAAATTATTTATGTAGATACTCTGGCATAACTCTCCACTCCTTAAGTGTGGGTTGCCCATAATGACTTTCTTCCAAAGAGTACAGTATGGGAAGGAAGAAATAAAAGAGTGACTTTACAGTGGAGAAACCTAACAAATACTATCTCAGCCAGGTGATCATGGTCAACATCAAGAGTCTAAAGTCATATAGATAGTATGTACCCTTGATATGGTGTGATGAAAATGACACTTTATTTCTGTGGTCTTCCCCCCCAAAACCCCATAACTCCAGTCTAATTATGAGTAAAGCATCATATAAATCCCAACTGAGGGACATTCTACAAAATACCTGACCAATAATCCTCAAAACAGTCAAGTTCATCAAAAAACAGGAAAAGTTGAGAAACTGTCACAGCCAAGAAGAGCCTAAGACGTCATGACAACTAAATGTAATGTGGTATCCTGGGAGTGGGGGAAGGTACATTAGGTAAAAACTAAGAAAATCTGGGGGCTTCCCTGGTGGCACAGTGGTTGAGAGTCCGCCTGCCGATGCAGGGGACGTGGGTTCATGCCCTGGTCCGGGAAGATCCCACATGCTGCGGAGCGGCTGGGCCCGTGAGCCATGGCCGCTGAGCCTGCGCGTCCGGAGACTGTGCTCCGCAACAGGAGAGGCCACAGCAGTGAGAGGCCCGCGTACCGCAAAAAAAAACCTAAGAAAATCTAAGCATAGATTTTATTTAATAATAATTTATTTTAATAATAAAAATAATGTATCAGTATTGGTTCATTAATTGTAACAAATGTACCATACTAACATAAGATGTTAATCATAGGGGAAATTGAGTGTGGTGTATATGGGAACTCTCTGTACTATTTTGCAATTTTTCTGTAAATCTAAAACTCTTCTAAAAAATAAAATTTGTATCTCAGGAACAGGTACTCTATGTCTAAAAGATTGAGTCTGTTACATTTAAGACACAGTGATGATCAAAACGACATTAGCAGTTAAACTGTTGTTCTTATAGCAGCCACCCTGTCTCTGTCTGAGGCTCTTCAACGTGTTTTTTCCTAATACATTGCTGTTGTGCTATCCTCTTAGTGCTGCTGTTTTGATTTTTCTCCCTTATTCACTTTCACCGCCCAGTCCAGGGAATTAAACAATCTCAGTAGCAAACAGCAAAATTTGATTCTTCAAATATTCATTGGGTACCCAGTTTGCCCTTTATTCTGGGAATCAACAATGAAAGTCACAGTCCCTGTATCAAAGTGCTGGCAGTTTGGTGGAAGATAAACATGTCCCCAGTAAACGCTCCTTAGTCCAAGAGCAGATAGAATGGAAGGGAGTGTGAGGCACATAGAGGAGGCATTGGTCAGCTCAGCCGGGGGAGGCCAGGGTGTTCATAGGAGAGGATGCCTAAATTTGGTCTGGAAGACTAGGTAGGGGTTTTCAGGGAACACAAAGTGGAGGGAGGGAACCTCAGCAGAAGGAACAGAGGTGCAAAGGCAGAGAGGCTGGAAACGAGTATTAGGGAAACTGGCGCAGCTGGAGGCTGGAGTGTGAAGGGTGGGTACTGGCAGGTGGGAGACTGGAGGGAGACCAGGGTCAAGTCCTGAAGAGCTCAGAGCTCCCGAATGAGGAGTCCGGACTTTATCCTGATGCAGCGGAGAGCCCCTGCAGGGCTTTTAAACAGGGAAGTTATATGATCATATTTAATTTTTGAAAGATAATTCTGATTGTGGTATGGAGAATGGATTTACAAGTAAAAAGAGGAAAGAGGGGAATGCAATGGTTAATCTTGCACTACCTCCCCCTCATCTGAGTTTAGGAATTTAGGGTCTCTTCTGACTGCCTCATTATTTCCAGAGTTCACCCTGGGGTCTCAAGAGAAAGCTGCAAAAGGGCAAAGGTGATCCAAGTCCTGTCTAGCCCGAGTGGCGAGTCACTGGGCTCTAGCATGTGACACTGACCTCACACCAGGGCTGTCCCCCACACAACACCAATTTGACAATCATTCACTGAGTCAGATTTCTTGATCTTTGAGCAGCAATTAACACCCATGTCTCAGTTTCCTTAAGCTCATCACTGGACCAGAAGGGCAGAGTAGTAGTGTCTTATAACCATCCCCCCAGAAATATATCACCCTGACATAAGGGAATTTGGCTTTTTTGGGGACTTGGACTCATAGCTGTGTAATCAGAACCTTTAGTCCACAGCACAACTGAGCTTCCTGAGGCCAGAGGCACATTCTCTGAAGTGACCTTTTAGACATAGACTCTGAGTAGGGGTCAGCAAACTACAGCCCGTAGGCCAAAGCTGCTTGCTACCTATTTCTGTAAACCAAGTTTTATCAGAACACAGCTGCTGTCTTTCATTTATGTATTATCTATCATCTATGACTGCTTTTATGCTAAGACAGCCAAGTTCGACAGATTCGACAGAGACCAGATGGTCTGCAAAGCCTGAAATATTTACTATTTGATCCTTTACAGAAAAATTGCCAACCCCTGGTCTAGATCAACACTTTGCAATAGAAATATAATGCAGGACTTCCCTGGTGGCGCAGTGGTTAAGAATCCGCCTGCCAATGCAGGGGACACGGGTTCGAGCCCTGGTCCGGGAAGATCCCACATGCCGTGGAGCAAATAAGCCCATGCGCCACAACTACTGAGCCTGTGCTTTAGAGCCCACGAGCCTCAACTACTGAGCCTGCGTGCCACAACTACTGAAGCCTGCGCTCCTAGAGCCCATGCTCCACCACAAGAGAAGCCACCTCAATGAGAAGCCCACGCACCGCCAACGAAGAGTAGCCCCCCTCGCCACAACTAGAGAAAGCCTGTGTGTAGCAACGAAGACCCAGCGCAGCCAAAAATAAATAAAGTAATTAATGAATTTTAAAAAAAATAATGCAAACCACACGCGTAATTTAACGTTTTCTAGTAGCCGCATTTTAAAAAGTAAAAAACAAGTGAAATCAGTTTTTAATAATGTTTTCTTTAACCTTTGTGCAAAATATTATTTCAACATACAATCACTATTGTACAATTAATTGTATTTTAACGAGATATTTTATGTTCGTTTTTCAAATAAGTCTTCAAAATCCAGCATGTATTTAAACTGACAGAGCAGCTCGATTCAGACTAGCCGCATTCCAGGTGCTCAGTAGCCACATGTGGCCAGTGGATACTGTATGGACAGTGCAGGTCTGCACTCAGACCCTCCAAAGAGTGAGACCAGCCCCAGATTTTGGTGCAGAGGTCAGCCTCAGCCGGGCCTTAGGCTATAAGGAACAGTTGTTGCATAGTTAACACTCCAGTCCTAGGAATCTTTGCCCTTTCGTCAGAAGATGGCCCAGCATAGAAAAGACCTTACATTTTCCAGTTGCAAACTGTAGCAACCTCCTTCGGTGTGTGCTGAGCCTGTACTTTTGGAGTTCGGCATCCTCAGACCACCCTGCGTGGATTATGGTGGTTCAGCTTTTCTAATTTTGGGTCCCTTGTTTGGTGGTTAAAATCATCCACAAGGTGGATGTCAGACTCAGCATGACAAAGAGAAGGCTACCCACTTCCTTGACCCACCAGAGCTAGAGGGACGTCCTGCTGGAAGAAACATATTCAGCTGAATTCAGGCCTTGGGGAAACTCAGGTGAAACAGGTCTTGTTTCTTGTTCTCCTGAACCTCTCTCTGCCTTAGGGCATATAGTCAGTTATGAGAACATGTTTGAGTTTCATCTTTCCCCTGGTATTTCTTCAGTTTCTTTCTTTCCTACTTATATATAAAGAAGGGGTCTCACAGATTAAAATTTAAATGTGTATCCTTTTCATTACAGATATTTGTGTTTCCCTTGATCCTGCTTCAGAATTTAACCACTTTTTCCCCCAGAATACTTACAGTCTTTTCTCTATTAGGGCCTTTATTCAGGGTACATTTCTTATTTTGAAATCCTCCTGTTTTATAAGTTGGCCTAATGCCGTTCATTCATGGCCTGTGGCATCCTTTTCTACCGTGAATGGATATGGCTTAGTGAACATTTACCCACTCAGCATATATTTACTGAGCACTCCTCGGTGCTAGGCAGTGTTTCAGGCACTGGAGATAGAATGGTGAAAAAGATACAACTCCTGCCAATCAAGTGGGAGGTACAGACTCTTAGAAGCACAATTCTGTACGAGGCGAGATGTGCAATGACCTGCATATAGATGCCCAGAGAAGGGTCACCTGAGGGAGGAGATAGGGAGGCAGGGAAGAGGGGAAGATGGGAGAAAGGGAATGCCTTATGTCCTCAGGCTCAGTGCAGAGTGACCGGCTCATGAACTGCTTTTGTTCCCACAGGCCAAAGCCCACAAAGTCCTGCAGAAGCTGGGTGATGTGCAGGAAATATTTCACAAGAGGCAAATGAGTCTGATGAAACTGGCAGCCAGACAGACTCGCCCAGTGCAACCCGTGGCCCCGCGTCCTGAGTTCTCCCCAAAATGGGTGTCACCAAAAATCTGCCAGCCCTCCACCTTGGGTAGGTTAATGGGGGAAAGAAGTTTTGTGGCTTTATGTTTCATCGATGCCCATGAGGGTTTAGATTATTGTTGCTTAAGATGCATAATGGTTACTGTTTTGACAGATATTATGTAAGATATGGAATAGTACAGGCATTGAAGACTTATAAATTTAGGTAAAACTGAGTGCCTGTATGCCAGGAAAAGCTCACAGTCTAGTAGAAGAATAATATAAATGCACAAATAACATTAGCATAAAATAAACTCCATTAAGGACCTTTAAAAGGCCCATAAGATTCTACTAGCAATGGAGGGGTAAAATTCGTTCTTTGAAAAAAAAAAGAAAAAGAAAGATGAGTCCTTACACCAATCCTACGTGGTCTTGATTACTATAGCTTACTGGTAAGCCTTGAGATCAGGTAGTGTAAGTCTTCCAACTTTGTACTTTTTCAAGATTATTTTGGCTATTTTAGGTCCTTTTCATTTCCATATAAATTTTACAGTCACCTATCAGTTTCTGCTGGGATGAATATATAGATCACTGAATGAATATATAGATCAATTTGGGGAGACCTTTTATCTCACCAATGTTGAGTCTTCCAATTCATGAATGTTATAACATTCCACTTATTTAGGTCTTCTTTAATTTCCCTCAACAATATAGTAGTTTTGAGTGTAAAGATCTTAGGCATTTCATGTTTTTAAAAAGCCCTATAATGAATTGAACTTACCATATATAACTATCAATAGGAATATATTTCCGTATAGAAATATAGTCATATCATCTGTGAATAAGGACAGTTTTACTTCTGTTTCAATCTTTATGCTTTTTTTCCCCTTGCCTTATGATGATTGATGGCTGGGACTCTAGTACAATGTTGAATAGAAGTGGTAAGAGCAGACATCCATGTCTTTTCCCAATATGCAGGGAAAAAATTTATTTTTCACCTTGAAGTATGATGTTAGCAGTAAGTTTTTCACAGATGCCTTTTATAAGATTGAGGAAGTTCCCTTCTATTCCAGTTTGCTAGTTTTATCACGAATGATTATTGCATTTTTCAGATGCTCTATTTGGTGCATATATTGTGATGATCATATTTTTTTCTCCTTTATTGGTTTATATGGTGGATTACAATTATTTCTTTTTAAATGTTAAAACAATCATGCATTCCTGGGTAAACACTCTTGGGTATGATATATGTGTCATTTGTTGCCTCATGTATTTTATTAAGCACATATTAATAATTATTATGTCTTCTAGATACACTGGCCCTTTTATAATTAGGAAACATCTCTCCTTCCCTTCTTATCTTTAGTAAAAGTCCTTGTCTTGAAGTCTATTTTGTCAGATATTAATAGAGCCATTCCAGCTTTCTTATGCTTGGTGTTTGCATGATACACTTTTTCCATTCTTCTATTTCTGTCTATTTTTAAAGTATATTTCTTGTAGACAGCTATAGTTGGGTCTTGCCTTTTAAAAGCATGTTAACCTCTGCTTTCTAATTGGAGTGTTTAGTCGATTTTACATACTATGTAATTATTGATATAGTTGGATTTAGAGCTACTATTTTGTTATTTGTTGTCTATTTGTCTCATATGTTTTTTATTCTTCTGATCTCTTTTCCTGGCTTCTTTTGGGTTAGCCAGTTTTTTAGTATTCCATTTTAATTCCTCTACTGGCTTTTTAACATACATATATAACTTTTGCATTGTTTTTTCCCCAGGTGTTTCTTTTAGGGCTTACCATGTGCATCCTTAATTTCTCACAATCTACTTTGAGTTAATATTGTAGCACTTTATGTAAATACAGGAAATTTGCAAAAATATAGTTCCATGTGCCCTTTAATCATCCTCTGTGCTATTATCCTAAATATTACATCTACATATGTTACATACCCCAATATTGTGTTATAATTTTTGCTCTAAACAGTCATATATCTTTTAGAGAAATTGGGAGAAAGGAAGAAAAAAATGAAAAAAAATTATGTATATAATTTTATATTTATAATTTTATATATATATAATTTTATCTTTACCATCCTGTTCACCATTTCTGGTGTTCTTTATTCCTTGTTGAATTACCGTCATGTGTCTTGTCTCTTCAGGCTGAAAACCTCCCTTTGGCATTTCTTGTTTTGCAGGTCTGCAACAAATTCTTTCAGTTTTTATTTATCTGAAAATTATGGGGTCTTTTGGTAACTCCCCATTTAGTACAGCTTACAGTCCCCTGTCTCCTACAACATATTAAACTTTTTAGAATTAAAAAGTTGATAACAGTTCAGTGAATTTCTTTCCTGAATTTTTCCATACACATGCATACACATGCACAGACACACTTATGCACACATACCACAGAAACACACACTCACACACAGAGAGACATCCTTCTTGGATGTTTGGAAACAGGGCTTGGTTCTCCTGACCTCCCATCTAGTGCTCTTTCCCAAAACTAAATTATGCTCTTTTCGATGACTTTTGCTTCCCTCATTATTATTATTTTTTTAATTTGAGTAAAATTGCTTTACGATGTTGTGTTAGTTTCTGCTGTACAATGAAGTGAATCAGCTGTATGTATACCTATATAAAGGACATACGTTTGTTACAAGTAAACAAAGCAGGAATGATAGATTGTTTCTCAGCTTTTTGAACACAAGATTTCATAGTAGGTAATGACCCTCCTAGGATCCACAGATCTTTGACATGTCTGAACAGGTATTGTTGACCTTGGTCAGGCAACTAGCTCATTTTGTATAACAATCCTGCACTTTTGTTTTGGAGATTAACCACCAAGTGTGCATTCTAGCTGATCGCTAACAGGATTTTCAAATACATTTGTCTGATTTTTAGCAACTGAGTCTGTGCCAAGATAGACTATTATATTTCACAGTGTAAGGAACATGGTCAGAGCTGCTTAGAGACGGGAGCTGGAATCTCAGCCCTGACTCTTGGTAGCCAGGTGTCTTGCGTACAACATTCAACCTCTCTGAAGTACATAAGGAACATGAAAAAATTCTTTTGTGGCTATAATAATAGCTAAAATATACTGAGTGCTTACCACGATCTAAACACTGTGCATACTAACTCATTAAGGCCTCAGAACAACCCCATACTGTAGGCTTTCTCATTATTCCCCATATACAGATGAAGAGGCTAAGGCTGTTTGATAACGTATGCTTCATGTGCGGAAGAGCAAAACTTGAGCGCTGGCAGCATGGCTCCCACGTCCCTGCCTTTAACTTCATCGCTGTACTTAGCGTTAAGGGAAGGTGCTTCTCAGTCATGGGTGTTGCCAATTAGTGTATGCATTTCCAGCTTCCCATTGTTATGCCTGGAATTACTCAGGTTACAGAGATCCTGTAGAGAATGAGGAGCCCAATGGATTGTCCATTGTTATAAAATAGCTTCAGTGGTCACATAACCTGGGGCAGCAAACAGTGCTTCACTACAGATTTCAACATAACATGTATGGGAAACCCACAGAAAGCCCAAGCTGCTTCCAGTTGTCTCACAGAACTTGAGGCTTGGGAGGGGCCTCTGGAGGCAAGACAGTCAACCTCCAACAAGTCTACCACAGATAAGCATCAGGGTGCTATTGGTAGCATTAGCTGGATGACATTTTGGCCATAGGACCCAGAAATGCTCGTATCCTGTCCTGGATTAATCACAAGTATCCCATGAGTTTCCCAAAGAAACTGTATATACAAGGGTGGTGATGGTGACAAGAATTCAAGTTACCACTTACTTATTAGCCTTGTAGCCATCGCCCCCAGTGCAGCCCTCTGGTAAAGCTGGGTTAGAAGCTTCAAGCATAACCAGGGCTTCTCCTACCCAAATCCCAATCTTACTGCCAAATGGCCATGGAGCTTGAAGAAGGGTATCTCTCAGGTGTCTGAGAGCCCTGTGGGAAGGAGAGGAGGGAGGGAGAATGATTGAGAGGAGAGAGCAAGAGCAAGGCTGCCCAGTTCCCTCTAGACTCAGCTGATTCTTCACACAGTCATCCTGTCCACCAAAAATACGTTTGCATCAGTTTGGGAATGCAACTGTTAGATCATCAGATTAGCAACGATTTCTGCCTAGGGCAGACATGGACAGTCCCTTATATAATCACAGTGTGTTTAAATGGTAAGAGTTTAGTATTTTTCAAATTTTCTGTAATAATCACAAATTAATTACCTGTATAATGGAAAAAATACACTCAATAGAATGTGGTACCTAGAATTGAATCTTCTAATCCAAGAACATCAAGTACAATATTATACATTGCAGATGACTTAATGCTAAATATCAGGGCATTAAAAGAATCCAAGAAGTCTGGAATAGTTAAGGAAGATTTCATGAAGAAAGTGACTTTTTAGCTGGGCCTTAAAATTGGGAATGATGGGAACTATCATTTTTACCACATTACATTTACTGATTTGTTGTGGTTTGATGTTTCCTGTGGTGTTGAGTGTGACTTTTTTCTCTTTGAATCAAATGCCTGGGATCAAGGACTCTTTCTTTTCTGCATCTCTCCTTCACCTCCAATTTCATCTACTACCTTGGAAATCACTGTAGCAGCTCAATGAAGCTTTGTTAATCAACTGCATCAACATGGTCCAAGTTAGGCTAAGTGCTCTGAGTTATTTATAAGCCAAATTAATGGCAGGTTTTCTTTGTCTCTCTAGCTCCTCATCAGAAAACATCTGTGGAACGTTATGTGGAGACGGATTTAAACTCTGTGGAAAAGGAAGATGAGACTAAATTTGAAGTCAAGGTATGATCACCTTTCCTTTACTGATAGAAATTTCTGACATGATATAAGATTGCTGCCATAATTATCAATAAACCAATAAATTGTGTTTCCCTATTTCACACCTACCATCACCTCCAGAAGATGTGCCCATAAAGGCACGTAGCACAGACTAGTGCTCCCAAGAGATGAGGTTTGTAGAATTTCATCCTTTCCTTTCTTCTTAATTGCAAATAGAAACCAAAAGCTCTTTGGTCATAATGTACATGATTGTTGGTAGATATTGTTTTATTGAAGGAAAAGTCATTTTATTCATTCCTATAATCTGACTTCATATTTAAAATTGGTAGAACAGTGTATGGTTTATATATAAAAAGAACACGACAGGGCTTCCCTGGTGGCACAGTGGTTAAGAATCCACCTGCCAATGCAGGGGACACGGGTTCGAGCCCTGGTCCGGGAAGATCCCACATGCCGTGGAGCAGCTAAGCCCATGCGCCACAACTACTGAGCCTGTGCTCTAGAGCCCACAAGCCACAACTACTGAAGCCTGCATGCCACAACTACTGAAGCCCGTGCACCTAGACCCTGTGCTCTGGAACAAGAGAAGCCACCACAATGAGAAGCCCACACACCACAACGAAGAGTAGCCCCCACTCGCTGCAACTGGAGAAAGCCTTTGTGCAGCAACAAAGACCGAACGCAGCCAAAAATAAATTTATCCAAAAAAAATGACAAAATTACATACAGCTACACACACACACACACACACACACACACACACACGCATATATAGCTGGTGAACTCTGAATAAGCATTGTGGATTTTGCCAAAGTCATTTTCATGCTTTTGATACTATACTCTAGTTGTGTGAGATGTTAACGTTGAAGGAGGTTGGGGGAAGAGTACAAGGGACTTCCCTGTACATTTCTTTGCAAACTCATGTGAATCTATATAATTATTTCAAAATAAAAGTGAAAAAAAAAGCACATAAGCTTTGGAATCTGGCAGACCTAGACTTAAGTGACATAAACTCTCTAAACCTCAGTTTCTCATCTGTAAAAATAGGAATAACAATAGCTACCTCCTGAAACTGTTTTGAGCATTAAGAGAAAATTTGAAAATGGCCAAGCACTACATAATCGTAAAGTAACATTATATTTAAAAACCCAAGCAAAATGAATTGTGAATATATGTTGCTGTACAGCCACCCCAGAAGGGGTCCCTTTCCTCTGCCTCACTAAAAAATTAAATATTTGGGGCTTCCCTGGTGGCGCAGTGGTTGAGAGTCTGCCTGCCGATGCAGGGGTCACAGGTTCGTGCCCCGGTCCGGGAGGATGCCGCGGAGGGGCTGGGCCCGTGAGCCATGGCCGCTGACCCTGCGCGTCCAGAGCCTGTGCTCCGCAACGGGAGAGGCCACAGCAGTGAGAGGCCCGCGTACTGCAAAAAAAAAAAAAAAAAAAAAAAATTAAATATCTGGCTGACTGAATTGTTCTGAAACAGAAGCCAGTAGACCATGGGCTCAAATGGACTTCAGCAATAGTTCATATCCATCATCAATTCCCAATATGTCCAAATCTAGGCCCCCCACGGAGACTCCACTGACCATTAAGGAGTCAGGCAGAAAGCAAGTCTTAGGCTTTTCTTCCTGGAGGCAGAAACAATGTGGGAACTAGTTCCCAGCAGACTTTTCTTAGAGAGAGAAAGCTGCATTCTTCTGTCAGTTTGTTCAGTCATCCTTCTGTATTCTGGGCAGATAAGGACACTGTCATTGCTGTTTTGGAATCCCTCATGGTTGGAGTTATTGCATCACCATGTCTTCCAGAGTTAGGAAACAGTCTGCAATTTCATACAGTCTTGTAATTTTTTTTTTTTTTTGGTAGTGTTTTTGTCTGGTTTTGGTATTAGGGTAATAGTGGCTTCATAGAATAACTTTGGGAGTGTTCCCTCCTCTTCAGCCTTTTGGAAAAGTTTGAGAAGGATCAGTATTAGTTCTTCTTTGTATGTTTGGTAGAATTCCCCAGTGAAGCCATCTGGTCCTGAACTTTTGTTTGCAGGGAGGTTTTTGTTTTGTTTTGTTTTGTTTTTTATTACAGATTCTATCTCACTTTTAGTGATCAGTCTGTTCAAATTATCTATTTCTTCTTGACTCAGTTTTGGTGGGCTGTATGTTTCTAGGAACTTGTCCATTTCTTCCAGGTTGTCCAGTTGGCATATAGTTGTTCATAGTATCATCCAGTCTTGATCAGTCATTTTTCTGAAATGGGCAAATGTAACTAAAATTCACCTGACTTGACATTCATGAAGTCTGTGAAATCATTAAGTAATATAAAAAGGATTTAATTCACCTTCAAAACTGAGCATCACTCAACCATTTTCTATATGCTGGTCTTCAAAGAATGTCATCTCTGAAGGTGAGGGCTGTGTCAAGTGCACCAGAGCCCAGATTTGGCACCTGAACGCATATGCCATTGCATTGACTCACAATGTGATTGGAACTCACTTCATATCTCTGTGACTTACTTTGCCCATCTTTAGACAACATATTTATGACCTGCACACTTCATAAAGATGTCATGGGAGTTGTAAGTATGTTAAGGTTCTCATATATAAGAATTAAAATTAGAGTAAATTATTTCAATAATTGTAAACAATACAATGAGTGCTATTGTTTTATTTGTTGTAAAAGAAAAAAAGGAAATATTGTCAATAAACATAAAGCACCTTTCCTCAGGGAAGACCTCAAAAGTATTTAAGGCCAAAAGTTTCCATAAGCTACATTCATTATTTACTCCTGTGTTACATACTTGTAAAAATAGACACTGCAGGAGCAGGGGTGGAGATAGAATCAGAGGCCAACAGGGTTGGAAAATGCTGAGTAGAATTCAAAAAGCCCTGACCACCAGATTTCTGGTTTCTTCCTTCTGCTGTGCTGTTTGTTTAACTCAGGCTCCAAGCCCATCCTGCTAAGATGCTCTCTCCCCCTGTGTTTAGGCAGATCACCAACAGCATAGGTACTGCTAAGCAGGCACGAGTACATGCTACCATCATCCTTCTGTGCTTGTGTTGCTTTTTCCCTTACTGTTGCCTTGTCTGGGTATTTAATGAGGGGCTTTCCCCCCAAGAACATATATATTAACAGTCAAGGGAGAAAAGGAAGCAGGGTAGGAACAAAGGCTGCCAAACTTCCTCATTTTGGAAAACAGTGGCTGGTCAGACTGCTGCTTCTAAAGCCCAGGGCTATGAGAAGAGTGAGCAGAATCCACAGTCGTGAAAAATATGAATAGGAAGAAAGGGGATTTGTGCACCAAATCCCCAAGTCCTGGACTTAGAAATCAGTTTAGGGTCAGTAAATGCAATTAGTGTTTTCCAAGGTGGGTAGTATAACCAGGGAAATGATTATTCCAAAATTTGTAAGAAAACTAGTAAGAAAAAAAGTAGGTTAGAAAAGAAGGTTTAGATTCATCTCTGCACGGTTCAAAAGAGGGACAAGGAGGTTGATTACCATCAAGAACAATCACTGCTGCTTGTGTTTTGTGGCCACTGTCCAAGACAGATGACCAGGATAAGTAGGAGAACGTGCATCTGACTCTCGGTGACCATTCTGACACCTTTTTGGCCTTAGGCCTGGAACTGAAAGATGAAATGAAGGCATAACCAGTCTGGGAGAGTGAATCATAACATTGTGATAAATGCCCCTCCTTGCCCTCAAGAGTAAATGCTCACAGGGGGAAAAAAAAAAAAAAGCTATAAATCCAAACCATTCATGATTGCTGCTGGAGTCACCGATACTCACTACTGCAACTAAAATCATGATAAGGTCTTATCATCAGCAGAGAACTCATTCCCAAAAAAGGTGTTCCCTCTTCTCTGGCAGGAGAATCCTTGGTGTGCCAGTTCGCAGGAACTTGACAAGCTCAACTTGAGGAGGCGGCTGAGATTCTCGGGGCCATCTGGCAGCTGTGAGGGCTGCGCTTGGTTCACTGACACTGTCTGGGAAAGCCATGGTGGAGTCCTTCCCTGTGGCTCCTAGCAGTAGTGATGTGGCTACTTTCTGCCCTTCCCATCACCAGTTGGAAGCTGAAAGCATGACTCACCGGGGCTGCTTTCCCTGGGCTGCTCACGTCACGGCCTCTTTGGAGGTGGAAAGAAGCCAAAGGCTGATGAGGATTTCTTTTTCCTGCATGTCAGCCCTCAGAAAAAAGGAAGAGCTACTGGCTGTGAGCACCAACGAACAGTGTTCCTGGGCACCTATTAAAGTCGTTTACAATAGCGAGATCTTTTCATGCTTCTGAGCAAACAGGCTCCTTCATAAAAATTTTTTTAAAACAAAAAAAGTCAAGGCAGGAAGAGAACAGAGAGGCGAGGGAAGGGTTGCTAACACTGACTGAGGGCTAGACATTGTGCTGGGTGCTGTGTGTACCTGATTTCATCTCAAGTCCTCAATAACTTGTGAGGAAGGTGATGTCTCCTTTGTTTTATCTGTGATGCTGTTGAGGCTCTGAGGAGCTAAGTGAGTTTCCCCAAGTCTAACACAACTAGTAAATGATCGAACTGGAATCTGAAATTAGCAGTTTACTTAATCTAGCAGTTTCCTAATCTATCTAATTTAACCTGTCTACCGGATTACTTACTTAATCTACCTAACTAGCAGTTTACTTAGCCTTTCATCCCCTAAATTTCCTCTTCTGCAAAATGGAGTTAAAGTAACCTCACAGGTGGCTGATTAAATGAGAAATATATGGAAAGCACCTAGCACGATGCCTGACATACAGAAGATTCTTAGTAATGTTAGTTTCCCATTTAATCCTGTGTTTACAGATAGAATGTTTTGTGTAAAAGATGAGAAGAAGCTGAAGGAAGGTTGGATTCAGGTCTTAAATTCAATAGCTTCTCCTATTCTCGAATATGTATCTTTTTGCCAAATGATAAGAGCTCAGGGCCAAATTTAGTTTTTTGCTTTCTCACTCTTCTGAATCCCAAAATCTTTCATTTACTTTTCTGTTTCTCACCAAGAGAACTAT